AAAACGTAACCTTTGTTTTTCGCATAAAAATAAAGTTTAGTTTTCGAAATGGTTTGCGATTCATATCGACAAGGCAAACACGTGTATTTTGCTATTAAATGCTCTTTGACCGAACCCTGTATATTGCTCAATAAACTAGTAGTGATGGCCAGAAACCAGGTGTTTTGGGAGAAACAATTAGAAATTCTGAAAAAACTTCTTGACCAATATACTCCAATTTTGCTGTTGAGATTTGGAAGCATGAAACCCACGGATTTGGAGAATTGCAAATAGTTGCGTGAAATTATCGTCGCATTACCAATGAGTAGTAGTATATAGCAGAATCGTTAGACAAGAAACAACAAGTCGATGTTATTTACATGGATTTCAGCAAGGCTTTCGATAAATTAAACCATCATCTTCTTGTGGATAGCCTTCATTATTTCGGCCTTAGTGACTCGTTAGTCGGTCTTTTAAGCTCATATCTTTCTAATAGGACGCAATATGTTTACTATAATGGTTATTCTTCAGCAAATTATACTGTTCCCTCTGGAGTACCGCAAGGTTCAAACCTAGGTCCCTTGCTGTTTTTATTCTTCATAAATAGCCTAGTCGCTTCACTAAAGTGTGAATGTCTACTATTTGCTGATGATCTGAAAATCTACACCAAAATTACAAATTTGGAGAGCTGTATTTCCCTTCAGGACGATCTGCATAGCATCAGACAGTGGTGCGACAATAATATTCTCTTCTTAAATATTTCCAAATGTAAAGTATGTTCATATTGTCGTAAAATGAACCCTATTATGTTTGATTACTCCATAAATAATGCGGTTTTGGAGAGAACAACAGAGACTAAAGATCTTGGTGTAACATTTTCCTGTAGATTGGACTTTTCTGTCCATATAGCACGCGTCACTTCCGAAGCGACACGGATTCTGGGTTTCATAATGCGCAACTGCCGATCTTTTTCCAACGAAGCGGCACTAAAAGCTCTTTTTATTTCACTGGTGCGACCAAAACTTGAGTATGCCTGTTTGATATGGAACCCTTTCTATGCGTATTATATAAGCATCTTAGAAAATGTGCAGAGGAAATTTCTTAAATTCTGTGTTTATAAAATCGATGGCACATATCCAGAAAGGGGGGTCTCTCAATTTGTTCTGCTGCGTCGTTTTGAATTAGAGTCTCTACAGTTAAGACGTTCCACTGCTGGCCTATCATTCCTTCATAAGCTTTTGCACGACAGAGTGGATGCACCAGAACTTCTCCAGAGGTTAAATTTCTATATTCCTCGGTTAAATACGAGAAGAACTCTAACTTTCTACTGCAGTACCTCCCGTACAAATGTATTATTTTATTCTCCGCTACATTCTATATGCAACAATTATAATTCCATAGCAGACAGTTCTGACATTTATTTTGATTGTATCAGTAAGATCGTGTCGAATTTCAGGTACTATTATAATAGCTAGTTCTATTTTTTTAAATTAGTTTTAGGTATACATTACATGTATGAATTATAAGTAAAGTTACAATGATATTGTCCTTTAATTGGAATAGTTCTGTTGGGCAATAATGTATAAATAAATAAATAAATAAATAAATAAATGAGTGCCAATACCTGTATTTTGCCTCGTTTTTTGTCCATAACACTTTTGCTATTGGTCGGATCTTTTAACCTGTTGTTTCATTTCGTTGGTCTCATAAATACCTAAAAATCTCGTATGGAAGGTTTTTTTGTTCCTGTCAATACTTTCGATTGAATCCCAAAAACACGTTTTCTCATTCTTTGTTGTCAAATAAAAAGTTTTCCCACAAAAATTGGTGCACCCATTTTATGCGACCATGTTTTAAATAACCTATTGGACAACTTGCACCAATAAAACCAGACTTTACAATTATTTCGGGGAAGTTTGCTAATATGATTAGACTATATGTTAAAACATCTAATGAACTGATTTATTAATTTAACATGATAAATTAATGTGAATTAATTACTGTCCACAAAAGTACGATATCCTTGTGCTGGATCTTACACAACAGTTGTTAATACATAACTTATACCTGTATAAGCATAAAATTTTACATAGTTGGCTTACAACCATTTTCATTCTATATTGGCAGGCTTTTATTAGAGTCTGGTCGCTATATTTTTCTACCTTAAGTTGCACAAGCTACGTTGTATTGAAATTTCTAAGCTACACATTTGTCTTGCAATTTTTTCACAGTTTTGATAAATGCCCGTTATTTTGAAATGGGAAATGTAAAAAATCGAGTGGACCTGCTTTGTCATCAAAACCTCTTCACTTTTTCATAACCCGATACTACAGCTCATTTCTTGCAGCACGGCCATCTGCTGCTCCAGATATACTCCGTCTTATTGCCCGATATATACCGTTCCAACTTTTATTATAAGCTTTAGTTTGTGTCGCTGTGTCTGTATTTTTCCTACATCCTTCGCCACCAACTGAACTGAAGTGGAAGTTGAATTTTTGATTTTAAGACGGAGAACGAAATACACATCATTGTATATGCGAATATCTCGAATGGAAAATGCTGTGTAACATCTATTTCCGTGCAGGGTAAATAAACAGGGTTGGATCCAGGTATCGGGTTGCTTTGCAGCGAAAGAATGTACACTTCATTTTTTTTTTATCACCCGTTTAAATAATGACTATCATCACGTTTACACCTTGTATAGCTAGTGAAAGTGTCCTTTGTGAAGTTGCCAACTTTCAGCGTTTGTTTTTCGCTTTCTTTAGGGCTAAGAAATGTGTAAAAGTACATTTGTAAAATGTCATAATCGTAAATTAGGCATTTAGTGAAAAAGCTTAAGTTAAAAATATTTACCAAGAAAACCTCAGAACATAAACAAAAACATTGACAATAAACTTGTGTACTTATTAAAAGATTATCATATAGTTTTGGAAGGCTCAACAATTAAAAAAAAATGAATAAACAACAGGTTTATGAAAATATAGAAAAGCTAGATTAATCTGACCTATCGAATGAGGCACAAAACTCGTTCCAAGGATAAGAAATAACCCTTAGGTTGACTATGAAAAACAAGTAAGGAGATATAGCATGACAAAGCAAACACAAACTGATACCAGTGCAGACTGTAATCCTGTATTAGAACAACTGAAGCAAGACGGAAAAAAAATCCCTACTGTTTGTGTACATATACTAGGAACAGTCGTGAATTCTGAGATAACATACTGCGAAGGGTTTAACTTTTATGAGTTTCTAATTCTAAAGGTTATAAATCTGACTTAGATCGTTGGTATATGTCTGCTTGTTCACATCATTAAACTGTAAGCATTTGATTTCATTATCTAATAGACAGACTGTGATAAAGTAGAAATTTAGTTACCCATAGATAAAATGTGAAGTATTGATACTGCGTGGTACTAAAAAAGGGTCAAGATTAGCCTAGTCGATTTGCCTCACCACCACCACCACTACCACAACTACCGCTAGCTCACTATTGCTACCACTCCTATTACTACTGCTACGACTACGAGTAGTAGTCAGCTTTGATGCTTAACTGGTTTTGTATGACAGTTCCTGAGACCTGAGATAATGACCCGCCTCTCAAGCTAGGTACGCAATGTACCATTCCTCACTACCAGCATTCTACAGTGCTTTTCAAAAAGCTCCACTACTTATTTTTTGAACAGGTTCGCAGGCTGAAATTTGAGTTAATGAACTTGAAACATAAATACTAAGTTTAGTACGAGCCCCTTCCCACTTCAGCTGGCCCAACTATTGAAATCTTAGTTTTTTTTCTTACCAAACACAAATAATAAAAATATAGCAGGGTTTAAAATACTAACAATGAATATTTTGATAATATATAGTAGAAAACACCAACTTTATCACTCCCTAATCGAATGCAAAGTAAGTCTGTAACGCATAGGTGGCTGTGAAAAATAAAAGCCATGACAATTGTTTTCAGGAATCACAGCTGTCAGAATACGCTTAAAATAGTTTTGGGTAGTTAAGGTTGTCAAAATGAGTAGAGGAGGTGTTATTAGTGAGAACATTCGGTTACTGACAATTAAATCTCTTAATTCTGGGAAATAAAACTCAGAAATTGCAACTTTGTTAGAGTTATCGCGGTACAGTGTGAGAAATATTGTTAGAAGATATAACGTAACTGGTTCAGTTAATATTAAGCAACGATATGTGAAAAAAAGTAATATATCAAATGCCGACCGAAGAGCATTAAGAAGAATAATCGTGAAAAACAGGCGTGCCAATTATTTACAATCAAGTGCTCTATGGAGTGACGCTGTTGAAAGGAGAATTTCGAGGTCCACAACTCATAGAGAGGCCCACAAACTGGGATTTAGCACTTGCAAGGTAAGTGTTCTTATAAAAAAAAGTGAAGAAAAAACCCTGAAGTTGCACAACTTGTTTATAGGCCAAAGAAAAGCCACTATTAACTCCATTGAAAAAGAAAAATCGGCTTAGATGGGCTAAAGAACATAGACAATGGACACCTCAACAATGGTGTGCAATACAATGGAGTGATGAGGCTCGATTCGAAGTTAGTCGCAGAACAGTTATTCGCAAAAGACAGAAGCATTCCATGTTGACTGTCTGAAGAGAAAAGTGAAATTTCCAGCATCCATGAAGGTCTGGGGCAGTATGTCATCAAAAGGAGTAGGAAAACTTCATTTTATTGATGGAAATGTAGATACAAACAAATATTTGCCAATTTTAGAAGAATCGCTTTTACCAGTGATGACATCCGGCCAAGATTTTGTGTTTCAGCAAGATGGTGCAGCGTGCCATACCTAAAAAAAGGCTATAAAATGGATGGAAGAAAATAATGTACCACTTTTGAAATGGGTTTCTAGCAGTCCAGGTCTGTCACCTAGTGGACCTTTGTGGCACGAGATGCAAAAGGTTCTACGACAAGATCCTGCTCGTACAATCACCGAACTGAGACAAAAGCTTCAAGAAATATGGGATTGTCTTATACCAAATTTTTTCCAAAACTTGGTCAACACTATGCCCCAAAGATTTTCAGCCGTAATAAAAAATAAAGGTGATGTTACCCAATGGTAATCTTTCAACTGTTGCTTTATTCGCACATTGTTTATTTGTTCAGATGTTATATTAGTTATAGGTCTAAGTGATTTCAAATATATATTTTTTATGACTAGAGTGTATCTAAAATGTTTGTGAAAAATTAATTGTTTTAGAAGTAAATAGTTTCGTCATGTTTAGTTATAAAGGCATATTTTGGTACAAATCTTGAAGTGGGCCAACTGAAGTGGGAAGGGGCTCGTATAACAGAGGCAGTTGAAAATGACATGATAATGTCTGGACGCAGTTTTGGAACATGATCAAGTGATACTGTATTCTGAAGATCGGTATAAGTACTTCATCAGCAAAACGCTATAGTGCATTATATAAATATTCTCCTCTGAAAAAGGTTTAGCGGAATATGTAATATAAAACATTCTTTTTAAAACTGAATGACCCATATTTCATTGCACAGTCTGAAAGGCCTTTCCTGGAGAAAAATATTGATATGATGATTAGTTCTCCAGTTTCCTAAGAAAGGCCAGAAAGGTTACATGCACACGTGCTCTTGCGCTAAAGTCCGTGTGGCGTCGCCCTTTTTCGCTCTATCCACCTATAGCCCTGCGGTACCTATACGTTTTCAGGCCTTCATGGTAATTCAAGTATAAGTAAAAAACAGTTGTTGAGTCACCAGCGATTTAATATTCAAAAACGCTCAACCTTGACAGCCTGCCAGTCCACTATTTTAAAAGATGGTGGTCTTATATTCTATATGCTCATGGGAGGCTTCAAAATGAGGTATGACATAACCCCCACCCTATTCAAAAGAAATATTGCAAGATAGTGTCCAGCCGACATTTTTAAATACCAATCTATATGTAAATCAGTGATCTCGAAGTTTCATACTCATTTCACTAATATTTGGAAACGTCCAGAGAGAACGTTTCTCGTTGCGTTTCTCTTCTCTACTCTGCTAGCAGCAAAAGCTGTTTTCCAATATAATGCAATTTTCAAGACATTCAAAAAGAGCAGCTAAATGACGAGCAATACCTAATAATCGTTACTTCGCAATGACTAAATCAAGTGAGTGAAATACGATTTTAAATTACTGTAGTTTACCTAGGTTTTTTTGCGATCACTATTTACCTACAGAAAGAAAAACTACTTATTATCTATCACGCACTATTGCAGTTAATAATTGTGAGTTGTCCAGTCAGTAACAAAAAAAAATATTATATCACCTAATATAGTGTATTACTTACCGAAACAGCGAAACTATCTGTAACCAAGATCCGGATCTGTAAACAAAATAATGTGGCTTAAGGAAAGTAAACAACTTCAAGCGATTGCTTGCATGCTTGGGAAATGAAAGTTGTATTTACATAAACTTCGCAACTTTGCAACTGCAAAGTATATATCTTTTTGCTAGCGTTTATTACAGCAGAATATATTTTGTTCCTTGGTATTTATTGGAATAAACATTGACGTTATACCTGGAAAAGAGTTTGTTCAAATCTCGAATTTTCATGATGGGACAGGCGCATGCAAAATATAAGTAAAGGGTTCAAATAATTGTTTTTAATGGAATGAGCATGTATTTCGTGTAAAATTAGTACGGAAAATAAACAGAAAAGTGTGATTACAAAGTTCAGTATGCAAGGAATTGCTTTTGTCTATTCTTCAAAGGCCTCATCAGGCCCGACAACCTGTCATCTAGTTAACGTTCTTTAGTTTTCAAGCACAAGAAGAAGAAATGTTGGGATCCCAAGAAGTACTAGGCACAAAACAGGTTTGAGCATTGGTTAATTTTAAAGAAAATTCGTCAAATGTTCCAACTCCAAATGCAAAGCCCAGTAACGCTTTCATTTGCCTGCACGTTGTTAAGAAAAATAATTAGTCTTTACTGTACTACGAGGGATGATTTTAAGTTTTGCATATGGAAATAAAACAACACGGTAGGTAGTTTTAAATGACTCTATTGCTTTTCGCAGATTAATACACATCTGCATGCGCTCTAACCAATTTTCGAAGTACTTATTCCACCCGTTTGCTGGCAGATCCAAAACGGCATTTTTGAACGCGTCAACTGCTTCTTCTGGCGACTGGAATCTTTGACCACGCAGTCTGTTTTTAATTTTCGGGAAAGTCAAGAAATCTTTAGGACTTAGATCGCGACTATATGGAGGATGGTCCAGTAATTCCACGTTTTCTTCCATTAAGTACTGCCTTGTTTTTTGGGCTGTGTGCGAGCTTGCATTGTCTTGGTGGAGGATGATTCTTCTTTCGGGGTTGATTTTTCAAACCTCGGTGATGACTTTTGGCAAACAAATGGTGGTATACCAATCCGCAGTATAAGTTCTTTGCTCATTAAGAGGAATTGTTGCAATATATTTGACACAAATGTCGCGACCACCTTTTTCGAAACACTTCGAGAACGGATGACTTTTGTTGGCTTTTCTTCAGCTTGGAACACCCAAACAGCCGGCTGTCGTTTATTTTTTGGTGCATAACAGTAAATCCACGACTCATCGCCACTAACAATGCTGTTCACATTTTTTGAGTTTCCAGAATTGAAAGGGTCAAGCGTTTTTTGACACTAATTAACCCTGGCTGCTTTCTGCTCTTCAGTCAAAAGGTGGGGTATCCAACGAGAAACTAATTTTCTTTCTCCTAATTCTTCACGTAAAATTTTTTGAATTGAGATCTTTGAGATCTTTAAGTACGCCTCAATCTCACGATATGTCACATGTCTATCTTCAATGATGAGTTTGCGCACAGCAACGACGTTTTCCTGGGTGGCTGCCGTTTTTGGTGCACCCACCCTGGAATCGTCGCTAAGACTCACCTGTCCATGTTTGAATTCTTCATACCAACGGGAAATTGTCGACTGATGTGGCACTGCGATGCCGAAGATAGACAGTAACTCAGCAAGGCATTCTTGTTGCGATAATTGTCTCTGAAAGTAATAAATTATGGCGCGAAAATGTTATCGGAATTCCATTTTTCCGATGACTTGGTGACACTTAAAAATTCACTGTAGTGAGAACACTGCACGTATTTTTGTGAAACTTTGAATTTAAGTTCACTAAAGAGTGAGGTTAAGATTCAGTACTGACATCCCTCGTATAGGGACTTGAATATATAATAAAAATTACATGTATAGGGTGTCCTAACAAAACTTGAAAGTAGTATATTATAAAAACTCGAAAACTGCTTATACAACAAGATTAACATCTTCTTTTGTCGACTGATCAGGAGACCGAAGAGTCTACTACTGGGGTGTGTATCTCTAAATTATGTTTAGAAATATACAAGCTTTTGCAGAGCTGCTTGGCACAAGAAACATATCTTTTTTTAAAAGGAACACTACCCTATACTTTATTAGATATTCGGAAATAGCTCTTGGGAATAAGGAGATTGACACCGTATACTGTAGGATTTCGATGGTCATTTGTAATTTAATCATTTGTCTGAAAAAATAACTGCATTTGAGTCCGTCATTTTGCGTATTTTTTTTTATTGATATGATGCCGATAATATGATCAGCTTATACAGGGTGTTGTAAAACGCAAGATGTAGCTTTACTTAAAAAATTTTAGCAGTAGGACCCTGTATATTTTACCCCGTCAAGTCTTCCGTTACATAAAATTTTTTGGCTAATTCGGAGTAGTTTATTTGAACAGCTATCTGGATAATACGTTGGCGTACTTTTTCAACTACCTTCCAAAATTCAGTGAAAAGCTACGCAAAATGGTGGAAGTCAGAGTGAAAGATCAGCATTGTATCAGAAAAATGAGAAAATGACTGAACAAATAACGATCCAAATACTACAGTGCATTTTATGGGTCTCCATGATTCGAAAAGGTCTCACCAAATATTTAATAAGACGAGGGGAGTTGTTGTGCCACGGAGTTCAAGAACGCCCTGTATATCTCCAAATAATTTAGAAATAAGTTGCCAATTCTGCGCAAATCGTTTTGCCTTTTATAGTATATCTATTAAGCCACTTCTCATTTACGTCATGAAATCCTGTGTACATGTAGGTCACTACGTGATTTTTCACCAAGGTTGTCAAATTAACAGTCCGTCCAGTCTCCACCTATAGGGTAACAGTCCGTCAAATACAGCGAAGAGTTTCAACATCCAATCAACAAATTTCAGCAACGTATAGCTATGAAATGCTGGAAACAAAATATTGTCAAGGTATGAGATGACAGCTTGTCCTTGAAACATCACCAGCACATTGAATATTAGGAAATTAACTATAAGTCAGTTAAAATTTATAGAAATGTTTGATTTTTGAATAAAGTTCATGTTTTAATTACTATTGTTGATTTTTTATTCATGTTTATATTATTTTCTTCAACTGATATGCGATTTTATTGATTTAACATCAGCTCCCGTATTTGTTTTCCAATAAATCTCTTGCAGATAGCCATGAGACACCTACTTGATGACAGACTCTACCAAAAATTTCATAGATTTCTTGTTTCCAAACTTCATTTACTTGCCCTTCATCAGAACCATTATGGCACATTAGATTGATATTCTTACAAAACCATTCAGGTTTTTTGTTATCCGTACATCGTAAAGGAACTGAACAAACATCCACACTATATTTACAGCGACTAAGAAATACTCAAATATATGTCGTAAAGCTACCGGCAAACTTAAAACCTGCAAAAAAATGAATTTGCAATAACTTTCTTGTTTCACTGAGTACACATTCTAGGTTATATTTATATTGGACATTATTTGAATAACTGCGGATTATTACATTGCAAAACTCCCCAAGGAGTAACACATGTGTGGGATCCGTCAACCAGTGGCCCCAGTGGAGTAAGCTCCGCCAGCTGTTGAAATATCTATGCTCTAAAAGACTACACGTGGAATTTTTCCCTAAATCGTTGCACAACACTTGAAGAAATGCATATGAAAATTTATAATGATATCCAGGCCACCGCAAAGTAGCTCCGATTATACATCTTGACAGTAGGGATGTTCGTTACGATCCTATATTTAGAAGTATCGATACATTTCATCTTTCGCTACGGACTGTGTCAGAAAGAGTGACTAACTTCAGATTACTTTTCTTCGTTGCTTCCTACCGCTGGATATCGATAATTTTATTCCAATATTTTAGAATATAGATACTTGCTAAAACGATAAGAATCGATACTTTTCTTGGACCTAAACAACCCTAATCTTGACAGCTTGTCGTTCTTCTCAACTGGGCTGCAGGGTGCAGTGTTGCCTTTACTATCTTACACTTTTCTAAAATCTTAAGATAATTAGAAGCTTCAAATGAAATAATGACGAGTATGAACGAATATGCATAGAATTTAGAATATAAATTCATACTGCAAATTTCAGATTGTCTATGCATGGACTTGAACCGGATTTTTCGGTATTTTTAACGAAAAGAGGATATTTACTGATAACATCATTCTCCACGATTTTTCAAAATAATTTAAATCTTTCTATACTTTCCGAAAAAGAGCTGAAACCAAAAATAAGGCTCAAAGTTAATTTTATGTAGACTTCATACTTTTATGCCCCATATCAATCATGCATATGCATACACACACAAGCAGTCGGGCACATGAGAGACGTAGATTTGGGTTGAATTTGCCATGAATTGATTTTTGTCCATAATAAGGTACAGACTGGTAGATTACCGTCATTACCTCATCACCGGACAAGCAATAAAGCCTTCAAATATAAAACGACAGGTTGATCCTTTATATAACCTTCATAGCTATCCATTAGAACTTAAATTTCGTTTGCAGCAGGCTCAGGCTGATGCAAAGACTAATTTACTAATTTCAAAGAATAAAAGGAAAGGAACTTACGACTTAAAGATATATACAATTAGCTATAAACCAGGTGATAACGTTTTAATAAAAAATGAGGGCGGTACGAAGATGGAAGCGTTGTTTAACGGCCCATAGGTGGTTAACAAAGATAAAGCTCCCAATATTTTAGTAAAAATAGGAAATAAAAAAAAGTTAATACACAAGAATAGAGTAAAACCATATTTTGTAAAGTAATTTTATATACCTGTGTATTAAACCCTTTTTTTCAGTTTTTTTCTATTTTTTTTAGTAGGAGATATAGTATATGCATGTATGTATAATTGGAGTATTAATGTGTAATCATACTGTACACTAAAATGTATTTAGAATTAGCAAATTGTGCAAGTAGGTTAGTGAGATTGTTTAGGAATATAACTATATTATTATGTATACTTTTATAAACGGTGGTAGGCATAAACAATTGTGGAATGCAAGTGTATCATTTTTGGGTTGTAAAGAAAAATTACTTTTTAGTTGGTCTTAAAGAAAGACCTATTATTTCAACAACCCCTAAATTCCCATATATTACATAATATAAACCAGTCTGTTTTCAAAATAAATACTTAATTAAAATGAGACGTGAGTCCATGAGTTCAGGGATAAAACAGAAAGATATTCACAATCCAATAAGCAAGAATATAAAAAGGAGTAATATAGAACTATGCCCTCAAAAAACAAAGTTGTGTGCGCGCCCAATACAATAACAGACATTTTTCGTGACTGAAAGGTCCTTGATCTACCCCTGATCTTGTGATGGCATTTTCCTTATACCGAACTCAACCACACTATTTACCGATTCCGTTCTTTTTGCGGGTTCGGCAACACTGCAGATGTGCAGATCACTTTAAAAACAATTGATATCCCAGGCGTGTTATAATAATAGAAACAACACGAAAATAAACCAATGTTTGGAGAAATATTTTCATAAATAGGTCTCTTTGATTCTGACTTATAATATCTAGACGATAAATAATAGGTGGATGCGGATACTTTTACAAATATCGACGTTTTAGGATCCAGAAATCCAGAATGTGCTGTTTGTTTACATCTGGTGTGGATTTCTAGTTCATAAGTTGGTAAAAATTGTTTTTAATGTAACAAAAGATGATATACAGACAAAACTAGATTGCCACGCATGAACAGTCGTCAGAAACAGGGAAAACATCCTACCAAATATACTAAGTGACATATAAATCCGAACATCCAGTTTAAATGGTTACTGTAAATAACAAGTGAAAAAATGTTCACCCTTATCAGTTGGACATTCCGGTTTTTATACTGCTGTTTTTAATTCACTAACGCTCTGAAAATGAATATTTCAGCCGCAGTTAAGAATCAACGTTGGCGGATTATGGTTCTTGACATCCTTTACGATCGGTTACGATGCCTAGAGTACGGAGACCTGTACGATTTCGTCAACTTATTGAGCTTGATAGGGGCCGTATAGTGGGGCTTCGGGAAGCTGGACTTTCTTTTCGGGCAATTGCAGTTAGAGAGCAAAGAAGTGTAGACACTGTGGTTAGGTGTTGTCAGGCATGGCTTCGAGAAGGCCGTACGCAAAGAGCAAGGGGCACTGGACGCCGCCGTAGAACAACAGACCGTGAAGATCGCCGCCTAAGATTATTGGCCTTAAGGGATCGTTTCTCCACTACCAGGTCCATTGCAAATGAATGGTTTGCAGAACACGGAAGACCTATTGGCATGCGAAGTGTTTACCGACGAATGAGAAGTTTTGGCTTGTTTTCATACCGGCCACACTGGGTCCTCCCTTTAACTCGAGAACACCGACGTAATCGCCTAGAGTGGTACAGACAACGGTCACTCTGAGATCGGGAATGGAACAGTATTGTCTTTGGTGACGAGTCTCGATTTTGTTTAGGCATGCACGATGGTCGTGCCAGGGTTAGAAGGAGACGTGGTGTAAGGAGGAATCCACAGTTTTTTGTTGAAAGACATGTTCATCACACTGTTGGAGTTATGGTTTGGGGTGCTACAGCTTATGGTTCCAGGTCACCTTTAATCTTCATCAGAGGTAACATGAACGCGCAGCGTTATATCCACGAAGTTCTAGAACCCCATCTTTTACCCTATCTTGACACCCTGGCAGATCCAACTTTCCAACAAGATAATGCCCGACCACATGTTGCAAGAGTCACAATAGACTTCTTTCAACATAATGATGTCACATTGTTACCATGGCCACCAAGATCTCCCGACTTATCCCCAATTGAGCGCGTGTGGGAAATGATGGGTAGGAGGTTGCTCAATTTGCAACGTCCTCCTCAGACTCTAGAAGCACTTCGAGAGGAGTTGGTGGTTGCCTGGAATGAGATACCACAGGACGACATTGACCACCTGATCAGAAGCATGCCTAGGCGCGTTGGATAATGCGTAGCACATCAGGGTGCATCCACACATTGTTAAAGGTCATAGTGCTTTAAAGCAGTGCAATGATTTTGAAATTTTTATCATTTACGTATTATGCTTCATTAAGTACTTATACAAAATTTTATTAAAATAAAACCATTTAAACTGGGTGTTCGGATTTATATGTCACTTAGTATATTTTCCCATTGGTCCATAATATTAACGTTGGTGAAATCGGGTCTTAGTCTACAATAAAGACGAGTTGATTTTCATCAAATGGTGCAGGCAGGCGTGTCCACAGAAGGTAAAGCACCAAACCTTAACATCCTATATGCCCAAAAGAAAACATTTCTGGGCATTGCGCCCAGAACGATTGATCAGTACAACGTAAATTGTCAAATGCCATTTGTTGTGTACCTTGTACTTTGTGAATAACCCGTGATTACTCTTCGAATGCTTCATCGTCTATGTAACATTTCCATTGATGTCCATTAAGTGAAAGGAAAGCGATTTGTGTCTGTTCGCTAATGAAGTCGGAAAGAGCCTTGTAGTATATCACGCACAGTCGGAAGCCCTTCAGCTTAAGGTAAAGCGGGTTCTGCAAACGAAATTAGGCTTCCATAAAAGTCAAGTACGGGTGCCTAATAAAATTTTTCTTTATGCAGAGGGTAACGTTTTTTTTTCTGGGAGAGGTTACCATCCGCTTTTTAACTACGCTCATTTGAATATCATAAAACAGTAGATTACCCCTCAAACTGTATTTCCTTCTGGAATTTCCAGCCGTAAGCATAAATTGGAACATTCCGACTCAAAGGGGTGGAAAAATTAGGGTGAGAATGAGGAGGACCGTCATACTGACCCGATTGGAGAGTTGCCAATAATTGTTTCACGATGCGCCTATACCCCTCAAACTGTATTTCCTTCTGGAATTTCCAGCCGTAAGCATAAATTGGAACATTCCGACTCAAAGGGGTGGAAAAATTAGGGTGAAAATGAGGAGGACCGTCATACTGACCCGATTGGAGAGTTGCCAATAATTGTTTCACGATGCGCCTATACCGGTTAATAAAAGCATCAATGGCAATATTTCTAGAGCATAAAGTACATCAAAAATAGCAAGAAGCTTCTATAAACGTTCTTCTTCTTCTTCCTGCTTTATTAATAGGCTCATGCCTGTTTTACTTCGGTTTTTAGCCACAATTGATGTTATCTTACCATCTTTTCCGCGGTCGTTCCATTGATTTTCTTCAATTTGGCGATTTGTCTCTTGCTATTCGTACTGTTCTATTTTCTGTCATACTTTCTATGTGTTGATTCCATTCTATTTTTCTTCTTCTGGTCCACAGGTTTATTTCCTCTTACTCTCTTTGAGTTTGGTTTGTTATTTTTCGTAAGACTTTCATTTCTGCTGTTTCCAATAATTCTTGTGTTTTCGCCGTATCTGCTCTTGTTTCCGCTGCGTACGTCATTATTGCTCTTATTGTTGATTTATATATCCTAGTTTTCGTTTTCGTTGTGAGGTATTTGTTGAGACGTCTAGCTGCTCTGTTCGCCATGTTCACTTGTTTCTGTACTTTTTCTTCCACTTTTCCATAGCCTGACAGTTTGATTCCCAAGTATTCCGTTTCCATCACTTGTTCTATTATTTTGTTACATCGTAAATACGACCAGTTTGCATCGTCTCGGTTCCGCTGATATTACTATCGATTTAGTTTTTTCTGTTGAAATCACCATGTTGTATATGAGCGCCGTATCTTCGATTTCTTTAATTAATTTTTGTAGGCCATCTCCATTTTCGGCTATTATTATGGCATCATCGGCGTAGCATATTACCTGCATTTCCTTTTCTCTCAATCTATATCCTCTTCCTTTTCTAACTTTCTTTATAATTCCACCCATTATCAGATTAAATATTAGTGGGCTCAGCGAATCTCATTGTCTAATGCCAGTTTCATACTTGATAGGTTGTGAGAGTTTTCCTTTACATCTACCATAGCTATGTGATATTTATATATATTCTATAAACCTAATATCTCAAAATTCAAGGTGTAGTAAGAAGACCAAGTGACGCTATGGAGAGGTAGAATTACTCTTAACTAATATTAAGAATTTGATGACCATGTGAATAATTGAGATGTTTCTCGAGCTTCCATTGTCCGAACAGTTTTTTCAACTCGCGATGGCGACGTTTCGATTGATGTGAACTCCAATCGTGATCAGACGAATTGACGAGCATGTTCCGATCTTGACTGTTTATATCATTTGATGACGTGGCCGGTGGTTGTTTTTGCAAAGAAAGCTGGAGGAGTGTGTGGTGGTTCTCGGCAATGCCTTTCCACGCTGAAGATTAAAATCCCATTAAAAATGGACGGGGTAGCACCCAAACCAAAACGACCAAGTGGAAGCTACCAGATGAGAGGAGTACCGCTCCATAAACTGGTGTTTGGAATCAGGAAAGTAAAGCGACACAGAACACCCAACTTTGTAAAAGGAGGATAAAACGAGTGGCCTTGAAGAAGGCCTTGAAGATAGGAAATCGAAAGGAACGGAAAACAACCGGTATGGAAGGTATCTTGATAGGAAACCAAATATAGGTTAGTACGTAAAGAAACCACAGAGTGGCGCTGATTGCCAATGTGCGGAACCATCCCTACGAGGAATCAACGATATTTTATAATGAAATTTCTGAGATAGTCGTCAATAAAATACTATATATACTTTGAAGTTGAGTCATTAATTTTCAGATAATGATTGTAGAAGGAAGATAAACCAAAATATGTGTGTAAAAATAAAAAAAAAATGAAAAAAAAATGTTACCTTGTTTTATAAAGTATCCTCCCGACAAGTATTTCAGTGCGGACCTGTATTTGATCGTGCGGTCATGGAGCACCGGCATGCCCTCCCCTGTGAGGTCTTAAGTCACCTGATTTACGAGCCCTTTGTACTACATTAACAAAGGCACGAGGGGTTGGTTGCACTCGATTGGGAAACCGATCCGCATAAATCCGTGATGCCGCGTAAATAGGAATCATGTCCACAAGTTCAGCATTTTCGTAAACACGTGCCATTTTTGATTTCGTTTGAGCCACGCAACAGACACCACTATTCACTCACGCGTTACCGACTGACACTGACTGTATACAACTGAATAAAATAATTGTAAAAACATCGTTCCAAATTCTTGCGCTTTTTTGTTTCCGATGCGATGAACCGATAAGGCGGATTATATCCGTTGTTGCCAAACACGAGCACATAATATTATTGTTGAGACAGGGCGGTACTCAAACTTCCAAAGGGCTATAACTTTGTTACTTTAATTTTACCAGAAAAATGGTAAAGGAAAAAAACGTTTCTTTTGATCAGGTCTACTCACTGTTAAAATAAATGACTCAACTTCGAAGTCACCCTGTATATATATATATATATATATAACTTGAGACGTGGTCATTGTCGTCTAGACCAGTTAGGTGAAAAATTAAAGCTTCCGCCTTTTGTAGGGTACTTCGACAAAATTTAAGCAAAGAGGACTCTTTATACTTTTTTTAATTCTCTCTAGCTTTCAATGGACTTTGCCGTCATCATCAGGAGCTGCAATTACAATGATAACAGTAGCAACAAAGGTGTAAAATGAATTTAAATTGACTCAACTTACAGTAGTATGTGAGGATGTTGCTAATTGTTGTTTACGTATAGGATGAGGGAAACGTCCAGTAACATGGTGAGAGCTGGATAGGTTGTACAATGGTCAAAATTATATAAAATATGACAAGAACAAGTTAAAAACAGATTAAAAATTATTTAAAAAACATTAGAGCATTACATCGTGAAGCCACTTGATGATTGCACAAATTAGTGGTCATGGAATAATGAGTGACATGAAACCCTTTGACAGAAGGCCGAAGGATGTCAATGTCAGTGTTGAAAGATGGAACGAATTGTGGGCGTGTGCCAAACGTTGCCGTCGGTTTAACAAATTCTTACATAAATTTCTGAAAATCTCATCATCTGAAGTGATTTGGCAACGTTTGGCACACGCCCACAATTCGTTACATCTTTCAACACTGACATTGACATCCTTCGGCCTTCTGTCAAAGGGTTTCATGTCACTCATTATTCCATGACCACTAATTTGTGCAATCATCAAGTGGCTTCACGATGTAATGCTCTAATGTTTTCTAAATAATTTTTAATCTGTTTTTAACTTGTTCTTGTCATATTTTATATAATTTTGACCATTGTACAACCTATCCAGCTCTCACCATGTCACTGGACGTTTCCCTCATCCTATACGTAAACAACAATTAGCAACATCCTCACATACTACTGTAAGTTGAGTCAATTTAAATTCATTTTACACCTTTGTTGCTACTGTTATCATTGTAATTGCAGCTCCTGATGATGATGGCAAAGTCCATTGAAAGCTAGAGAGAATTAAAAAAAGTATAAAGAGTCCTCTTTGCTTAAATTTTGTCGAAGTACCCAACAAAAGGCGGAAGCTTTAATTTTTCACCTATATATATATATATATATATATACATATAATACTAAAAAGATGTAATACTTGTGAAATTATACAATCAATAATATACAATTAAATTTGCCAAAAGAAAATCATTGAAAAGGATTTGGCCTAGGAATGGGCACTCGACCATTAATAAATTACTGGGTGATGATCGAAATAGTAAAAAAAAGTTTAGGGAATTTTCTCTACGAGTAGGAGGGTCTCTACAGAGTATACAGGGTGTAAACGTTATGATATTCATTATATAAATGGGTGACAGAGGGGGCTGAAGGAACCAAAAGTTTCATATAACATGGGGGTCAAAGCGGCATTGTTTTAGAGAAAAGCGACTTTAAAGTAAAATAAAATTTGACAACGCCGCAATGCCAGTCGCAAATTACGACGGAACGCAGTGTAAATAAAGATGCAGTTTGTTATTTTTGGCTCTTAGGTATTATTTCATTATTGGATAATGTACTCGTAAAATGCAAACAATTAAAAAAACGGACTT